AACCGAGGTATCCACTCTGAAAGACCTTATGTAAATTTAAAATTGTCTCCCTTTCCTTTCTTATACTGAAATGTATAATCCATAGTCATACAGAATTGCCGCAAGTCCCGACACCATCCAATGTAAATAACCGATTCTAGCGATATACGAATTCGAAAAATTTTCAATTGCCACTTATACATTTTTGAATACATTAGCACCTTCTCGAGAGTCACCCATTTTGCTCAAATATGAAAATTGCACCGCCCAAACGGGCTGAAAGACTTGTGCCCCATTAGCACAACAACACTCAAAGAGGTAATCCTGCCTTAACACCACCGATCAAATTCATTCTCTGTGCGCATTGCATCATTCACTAATAATAACTCACTCATCCCATGACTTTCATATACTCATAAAGCGCAATATAACCCGTATTCAGGAATTTCAGTACTCGAGTCATCCTCGATCTCAACCTCTGCAAGTCATAACTAATCCACAAGTATGCCTCAGACCAAAACTAAAACTTAACATATAACCATGAATTGAGTTGTCAATAGCAGGCTCCCCCACTTGGCTCAAAGCCATAAATTAAAACACTCGATAACTGACAATACCCATACTTTATTACTGCCATAATACTGCAGTCAGTACAACGAAAATTCTTCTCAAGCTCATACAACGCCAACCATAAAAATACCTCAATCGTACCTAGACTCGCATTCTTTCTCTTAACACTCAAGTCAACTTTCTCAACCAGATTCAAATTCAAACCTCAACACATACGCCCCGCTGTAGATTACTCCACAGGAGATAACCCACCTGCTTAATCTCAAATTGGCATCTTGCTATACCCTTTCGCAGCCACAATTTCTACGCAATCACTTAGTGTATCTGAGTCCAAACTTATTAACTAGACATGAGAATTTAATTTGTCCCAAAATTTAACAACGTGAAAGATCCTTCAAAATATTAATACTCGAGATTGTACGTTACATAAAAACGAAAATCAAGCATCCTACGGCCCTTTTTACATTTCAAGGAAGTACTTCTCGTCACATTCAAATCGTCTTACCACATCCCGCAGTCACATCATACTCATCACAAAGCCATTCCACTGCTCATCGAGCCACAAATTTCCACTCGTGGAGACATTACCATACATATGAGTCCAAACGTACAAGTTACAACTGAAGCTACCGAGCATAAGCTGCAGTCTAACCATGGCCTCAAGTCCTCCAGACTGGCCCATCACCAAAACACAGACTACACATCTCGAACCTCATTCATAGAATCATAAGCTGGCGATGCACAACTGATACCGAGCGCTCATGTGCGCATACGAATGTGTGGATGGAATTCAAAGAGTGATGTTTCAAGCTGAATCAATTTCGCACGATAAGGAAAGAAAGATGGGAAATTACCTTAAATGTCCTGTAGCCTCTCGAAGATAAGTATGGACGTCATCATACCGATCTGCAAGACTCTACTAGACACTTGCTCATGACTTGTAGAACCTATGAACCTAGAGCTCTGATACCACCTTGTCACGACCCAAAATCCAACTTGTCGTGATGGCACCTAACCCAACCCGCTAGGTAAGCCCATTAACCACTAACCAATTCCAATAACAATTAATAAAGCCATTAAATAAAGAAATATTTGAATTTGATACATTTCCCGAGGACTGGTAGTACAAATCATGAGTTTCTAAGAATAAAGTATACAAAGCTGGTATGAAGTAAATACATCATCTGTTTGAAAAGTACATAAACAGAGTTTTATGAATCTACGGCTACCATGAACAAGAGGAAGCTAAAACCGGAACGCAGGTACATCTTCAGATCCAGCTCCCAACGTACACAGCAACATCAGCAGCCAACATCTGCACGCAAGGTGCAGAAGTGTAGTATGAGTACAACCGACCCCATGTACTCAATAAGTAACAAACCTAACCTTAGGTTGAAAGTAGTGACGAGCTTGTACTAAGGTCAAAGTTCAACTGCCATAACCAACAACAGTTCATATCAACATAAAGCAATAAAATGCTCAGCTTAAATCATGATTTCTAAAAATAGTTCTGCCTTTCAAGTACATCAGTGAAAACCCAAATCGTTTACCAAAATTGCCAAAAATATGAGTAAGTTTGAAAATAGTAATTTTCCTAAAAATCCTTTCAATAATAAATAAGATGTTTGTTGGTTTTTTTAAAAGATGGGGCAACAAAAAGATTAAAAGTATTGATTGAAAAAGTCTCTCAATAATTTTATTAAGCATAACAAGGTTTTAAATAGCCAATTAGGGAAAAAAAATCACATAATTTAAAATTCAAAAAAGCTAAAATATCTCAACTAACTTAAATAATCTAATAAAAATTTAAAATTGAAATTCATCCTAAAACTAAGCTAACTTATTATGCTAAAAAGATTCAACGGTAACTGAAGCAAATCATCAATATTCCTCATTTGCTTCAGTTGCTCTAAAACAATTGCTCCTCCTCAATTACTGCTTCTGCTATTTTTGCTTGAGGATTATGTTGAGTGTCTTTGAACTTACATACTTTTGTAACATGGCCTGTTTGTTTGCAAATACCACATATTGCATCATGTCTCCACCAACAATATATGTGCTCATCATTCCGAAATCTCTCCGGACCCGAACTAACTAATCCGATAGGTTATAATACAGTTATAAAGCACAAATAGAGCAGTAAATGGGGGAATGAGACTGTAATACTCAAAACGACCGGCCCGGTCATTACATGTATTTTTTGAAAATTCAATACATTTCTTATGGATTTTGATCCATGAATGATGTTAGAACTAACATTAAATGGTGTTATGTAGCCACAAATGCATCGTAAACACTTACCTTGAAGTATGTTGATGAGGGATGTGCTCATCCTTCTCTCTAGATTCAAGACCTAACTCCAAAATTTCATCTCTTTCTCTTCCCCAAAATAGCCACTTTTATAATTTTGATGACGTGCGTAGCTACGCTCACTTCCTCTTCAGCTCCCCTTCCTTTGGCAAGCTTGCTGGAATCAGCTACGCACAAGGCAGCGTAGCTACGCACAGCTCGCGTAGCTACGTGGCTGCTAGCTAACTTTTAGTAAAAAGATCATAACTTCTTGTAACAATATCCAAAAGACAAATGGTTTGAAGCATTGAAAACTAGACTCACAGATCTTTAATTTGATAGCTCGTACACCACATAAATCTTCATATATTGGGAGTTATGCCCGTTTAAAGTTAGGTCTTGTGCAAACTCATTTGAAACTTTAGCCCATCATATAGTTTCCAACTGATTTATCCTTAGGGCTCTTCTTAGACCATAAACCATTATTAATATACCTTGTACACATATTACCATGATAAATTGATATCTTTCATATCATTAGTCCTTGTTCACATCCGGATTAATATAATTAGCACATGTTAATCTTCTTAGTAGCCTTAAAACACTTCAAAATTTTTCGGGGTGTTACACTTCCAATCGAATATTTTTTATGATAATAAGACAGTAAAGTGTAAGCTAGTTTGTTTAGCCAAGGGGAACGCATTACAATGAATAACAGTCTAATTCACTATCAATTTTTACATTCTTGAAACAACTAAATTTTTTCAATGTGTCTAATCTTTTTTACTACAAAGAAACATTTACTCTTCAGAGGCGGTCGAAGAATTAGTCAAAGACTCAGTCTTTTGTAGCTGCAGGGTAGGACCTGGCTCCAGCACTATTAAGCCATTCACATGTTTACCATTCCCCTTTACTAACAACTCTTGCAATTTCTATTAAGTGTTTGAGTGGAAAATCCCTAAACTGAGAGACTCATTCAATTAATTAAGCCGAGATGGAATATTGGATTTGGGAAACTAAGATCTCAAACAATATTCTTGTTCATTCTCAATTATTTATCATGTGTACGAACTTATTTTGGCCTTACCCATCCAGGTTAGTGCTAATATCTGTGTGAATAGTCACGAATTTGAGCTAATCAAGTTTTATACAACAACTACTACTATCTCAATCCCAAACAAGTTGGGGTAGGCTCTATGAATCTTCACTAATCATCTCGTTTCATTTAGCTCAATATATTCTATATGCAACGATTCATCATAGATTGACCAGTTTTTCTCCTCCTACATACTCGTATGTAGATCCTGAACTAAGGTATGATTGCGCACGTTATTGAGGTTAGTCTTTTCGGATCACGGGTGACAGGTGAATGCCAAAGACCGAAAGGTATGAGCAATTTCTACTTTGCTCGTACTAAATACGGGTAATTCCCCGCCACTTGCCCATCATTTTAATAGAGGGATAGCCAGTGGTGAGGCCATTGGACCAACAAACATTAGAGGCAAGTAGCTTGAAATCCGAAAGGGTGAAATCAGGGGCTACACTAGTTGTCAGCCTACCGCAACCCTCTTCCTTTAATCGCGTTTAGGCCGGCAATATGAGCAAGTACAGTGGAGTTAAGTTGCATGTTTATAATTAAAGCAAAAAAATCTATATAAACAGTATAAAGCTTATTGATCCTCGTCAGTTATAATTTGCAAGGCGTTGTTTTACATGTTTGCCAATTACCTCTTTTCACCTCTTTCTCCAAGAAAATAGTTTAAGGAAGTCTTTACAGAATCATCCATCCTTCTCTAGTGTCTACTCTGTAATATAATCTATCAAATAGCATAAAATCTTTTCTGACTCTCGAGTAATTTACTATTTTTTGGATGGACAGATCAGTAGAAACTCGATCGTACAAATAAATTGGAAAATAGTTTTTTTTCTTTGTTTGCCGTCGAACTTGGTTCACTCTTATTTTGAGTAAATAACATATACAAAGTAAACCATTATCTTTTGACATGCTTGCTTTGTGATATTAGATGTAACGACAGGATAAACATTTAGCTTATCCAGTAGGCTATTTGAAGAAGGACCTCTACAGTTATGTTAGCTGCCTGTTAATTTAGAGTGCATATGTAGCTTTAATAAAGTTGATATGAGATTTGGTCTTTTGGCAGATGTCATCTGCTGTACTTCGCAAGGACATTGTAAATCTTCTGGATTTCATAGAGAGGTTAAAGAACGAAGAAGATCAAATTGCTCTTGACATGGATCAAATTGAAAAGCTGAAATTGGAGCTGACATTTATGTCAACATTTCTTCAGCTTTCTTATTTCAATTTGGATGGTTTTAGTGCCAAAATGTCTCGCAAAGCACAACAGGTTGATGATATGGTTCAGTCAGTTTTCTATAGGAGTGGAGATGACTTCTTGGTTAAATATGATATGGACCGCGTTGTTCCTCACATCCTGGAAAATATCAAAAGTTATATCAGCTCACATCATTATCCTGAATCAAGTGCCACCATGACTGAGGCGCAGTTGGTTGAACTTTTAGACGCCCTCCTTGTGAATCTCCATGATCTACCCAAGTGTTGTGCCAAGCTGATTTTGCCATTAATGACTCAATATGAGCTTCTCCGGGATATATGTGGAAATTTAAGAGATTTTCTTGTGCTGAAAGTAAATGGTTATGTTGAGCATGAGACAGTTGAATATGTCTTACCTCAGTTTCAACTTATGGCTGAGAGAGTAGGGCACTTCTGTTTTGACCTTTTGTCTTGTCAACTTGATGAAATAGATGAAGCAGATGATTCAGATGAAATATATGATTCTGATGAAATAGATGAAGCAGATGATTCAGATGAAATATATGATTCTGATGAAACAGCTGAACCTCATGAAACAGATGATCCTGATGAAATATATGATTCTGATGAAATAGATGAAGCAGATGATTCAGATGAAATATATGATTCTGATGAAACAGCTGAACCTCATGAAACAGATGATCCTGATGAAATATATGATTCTGATGAAATAGATGAAGCAGATGATTCAGATGAAATATATGATTCTGATGAAACAGCTGAACCTCATGAAACAGATGATCCTGATGAAATATATGATTCTGATGAAATAGATGAAACAGCTGAACCTCATGAAACAGATAGTCCTGATGAAATATATGATTCTGATGATATACTCCATGAAGTCAATTCCATGATAGTTCATCTATTTTTGAAGATTATTCCTGTTGAACTGGAGGTTATGCACATATGTTCCACATATTTGAAAGCTTCAAAGTCAGCAGAAGTTGGACGCTTCATTAAGCATCTCTTAGAAGCCTCTCCGGGCATTCTTAGAGAATATCTAATTGTTCTACAAGCGCACATGGTAAATGTTCTTACTGCTAGCACTATTGCTCGAAACATTCATGTCATGATGGAGTTCCTATTAATTATTCTCATAGATTTGCCCAAGGAGAACTTCTCTGGTCTCTTAACACGTGTTGGAGCACTTACCATGAAGGTATCCATTCTTGTTCGCAACTTAGAAGATAAATCAAGGAACGGCGAGAATATGAGTGAAACTAACTGTGCAACTCTAGACTTGTTGGAAAGTATTGAACTCATGAAGGAAGATCTCAAACATGTTTTCCTAAAAGCCCCTGCAGACTCATCTCAACTCTGCTTCCCCATGAGTGACGGACCACTCTTCATGACTCTTCTACTCAAAAAATTAAATGACTTGCTCAATTCTAATGTTTGTTCAGTTGCTTTGATAAAGAAAGAAATTGGGCTAGTGAAAGAAGACTTAGAATTTATTAGATCGATCTTCGGGAATGTTGAGCAAGAATTGAATAGAGATCTTTGGACTCGTGTTCTAGATGTGGCATATGAGGCAGAACATTCCATTAAATCAATTCTTGTCAGAGACCATGGTCTCTTGCAGCTTATCTTCTTGCTTCCTGCTGCCGTAGAAAAGATCAAGCGCATCAAAAAAGAGGTACTAGAGAAGATCTCCAAGAACAAGGGTCTTATTGTTGTGAACTCTCTCAACAAGTTAGTGAAAAGAAAATCATCAACAGCTGGCCAAATAATTGTAGGTTTTAAGGAGGAGACAGACTGGATAATTAGGAAGCTCACCAGTGAACCAGGTAAAGAAGATGTCATTTCCATAATTGGTATGCCAGGAGTCGGAAAAACTACTTTGGCTTACAAAGTATATAATGATAAATCTGTTGTTGATCATTTTGACGTTCGTGCTTGGTGCACAGTTGACCAAGAGCGCAATGTGAAAAAGTTGTTGCAGGAAATTTATAATCAAGTTGTTGGTTTGGGAAAAAGATTCAGCGAGGATGACATAGATGATGACGTTGCTGATAAGCTACGGAAACAACTGTTTGGAAAAAGGTACCTTATTGTCTTGGATGACTTGTGGGATAATGCAACATGGGATGAGCTAACAATGTCTTTTCCTGTACGTAAGAAAGGAGGCAGAGTTATTTTAACTAGTCGAAAAAAGGATGTGGCTTTGCATGGAAAACTCCACTCTGATCCTCTTAGCCTTCGATTGCTAAGACTAGAAGAAAGTTGGGAGTTATTAGAGAAAAGGGTATTCGGAGAAGAACATTGCCCTGATGAACTAAAGGAGGTTGGAGAAAAAATAGCCCGAACCTGTGATGGGCTGCCATTGGTACTTGATCTGATCTGTGGAGTTCTTGCACGGAAGGAAAAGAAAGAGGCTTCGTGTCTTGAAGTTCTAAATAACTTGAATTCCTTTATTTTTAAGGATGAAGAGGAAGTGATGAAGGTTGTACAATTAAGTTATGACCATTTACCAGATCACCTTAAGCCTTGCTTGATTTACCTTGCAAGCTATCCAAAGGACGAAGATATTGAAATTTCTGAATTGAAAGCTTTATGGAGTGCCGAAGGACTTGTGGAACAAATTGAGATGAAGAGTGTGGAAGAAGTACTGGAGGTTTATGTGGGTGAGTTAATTTCCAGTAGCTTGGTAATAGCTTTCAATGAGAGAGGTTGGGGCCAGAGTTGCAAAATCCATGATCTTGTGCATGATTTTTGTTCCATAAAAGCTAGAAAGGAAAAGTTGTTTGACTTCACAAATTCAAATGCTCCATTGTCGTCTTCCTCTTCTTCTTCTTCTTCTTCTTCTTCTTCTTCTTCTTCTTCAGATTTGATGCCACGTGGAATGACCATTCATTATGATCATCCGGATGAAAATGTTGTCCTGTTCAATCCAGAAAAGAAAAATCCTTATGTTAAACACCTCCTCTCGTTGAAGGTAATCGTGGAAGATGGGAAGGACACTTGTCTTTCCTACAGTTGTCACCTACAACACTTGAGGCTTCTTAAAAGGTTGGAGCTGCGCAACATAAGATTGACAGATTCCTTGCTGAATGAAATAGGCATGCTTTTTCATTTGAGGTATTTAAACATTTGGACGGAGACAGAAGCTCTCCCTCCATCATTTTCAAACCTATGTAATCTAGAAACTCTGGTGGTGGCAAATTGGGGATCAAGGATGGTAGTATCACCTAGTATTTGGAGTCTAGCAAAGCTACGACGTTTTAACATTGATAGTTGTACTTTCTTTGATTGGGATGATGACGGCGAACCAAAAGTGTTAGAAGAGGACTGGAAGTTAGAGAATTTGAGAATTTTAGATAAGTTCAGTTTTTCCTATTTGGATGACACAGAGGATATTTTAAAAAGGTTTCCTAATCTTCGAAGCCTTACATGCGAAATTAGCGGACCATGGGATTTTTCAGAGGAGGTTTATTTTCCAAGATTGGATGTCCTTAATGAACTTGAAGAAGTCTCCGCATGGTTTCAGTGTCGTAAGTGTTCACATGCACATCAGTGGGATTTTCACTTCCCTTTGAGCTTGAAAGAATTGGACTTGAAGGGGTTTGATCTTTCATCTGATTCACTGTCAGGAATTGCGAGAATACCCAACCTTCAAATCCTGCATCTAAGAAACGCAATCATCGAGGGGAAAGAATGGAACATGGAAGAAGTCACCTTCGAGAATCTCAGATCGCTGAAACTGGAATCAGTGTCTTTTTCTGAATGGCAGGTTGGAGAGGAATCCTTTTTCCTCCTCGAGGAATTACATATACAATGGTGTGATGAGCTTATGGAGATCCCGGAAAGTTTTGGGGATATTGCTTCATTAAAGTCCATCTACCTGGTTGGCAACCGTCAACTTGTAGATTCAGCCATAAAGGTTAAGAAATATGTTTCAGAAATGACGGGAGAAGACAAGCTTGAGGTAAAGTTGAATGCGGTCATCTTACGTCCTTATGACCAGCCAAATCTCAGTACGTATTTACTAACTTATTAACTTCTTATATACATTAAGTTCCTTTTCAGTATATTTTTTCCTATTACTTTAACCTGTATAATCTTCTTTGCAGAGCGCGTATAAAGGAAGAGCATACGATTTGTAGTACATCAACCTGTTGAGGCTTCAAATGATGGACTGATCCTCAGACTTTTTTGCCTTCTTTCAGCTGTTTCTTTTCCAAACTTCCCTTTTGAATCACTAACTTTTGTTTCCCTGTATGGTATAAAGTGAACCTGTTTTTTGGTAGCTTGTGTTGAAATATCATGCCTAACATTTGTTGCTCTTTTATAGTTTCAAAAGAAAATGTAGCAAGTTCCAATCTCATCTTCTATTAGCATAGGCTTATTTCAAATATTAACAACAGTTAGATCAATTATTCTGATAATTAGCCTAACTTGGAATAGGTGTAGTCTATAAAAGTAAATAGAAGGGGTATTAAGAGCACTAAAAATGACAACTTGGAAATGAAAATACAGGTACAAGAACAGATTAAATAGACAAAATTAGGGCAATGCATGGATCATCATAATCATCTTGCTATTCCAATATTCACAAGCCAGGTCTGAAGTCCCTGATATAGAACTGAATCAATATTCTTCACAATTAATCGGTCTCGTCAGTGCCAGAAATATATAGTCATATTAGAAACGTTACAAGAAAAATGCTATAGTATGATTTATCATTTGGTTCAAGATTCCAATCAACACAAAGTTTCAGTATCTGTAGTTTTTATTTTACAGATTTAGACAGGAAGAGGGAACCTAACTGAACAGTAGATTTAACAGTATAGTTTAATCTCTTGACCATTATACTATTTGGCAAGAGCAAGCTTCTGTACTTTTTGCCTCACATACATTACAATTGATACAAGAACCTAACTGAATAATAGATGTTACATAGGATTTCAAATTCTAATCTTTTAACCAATGGATTATTCGTGCAAAAATAGTAGTGGCAAAATGAATAAAAAGAACAGTTATCCATCTATATTGATACTGATCCAATTGGAATTTTGACCATCTAACTATCCTTTCAGGACTAAGCTTATGTTTCCTTTCCCTCTCATAATAACAATCTAGACTATTTTGAATTCTTTACAATGTCAATCCACAGAATATATACTGTCAAACCTCTCTATAACAACCGCATTTGTTCTGATATTTTTTGGATGCTATAGTGAAGTACTGTTATTATAATATAACATAAAAGATCGATTCCGAGAGAAACTTGGCTTTTATAGTGAATGGTTGTTATATAGGGATGTTGTTAACTCTTTTCAATATCCAATCAATGTAACATTCTTTTTTTTTTTCTCTTTTTTTTTATTTTATTTTTTATGTCCAAACAACATTACTCACTATAACAGTAAAGTCGTAAAACCATTACTCCCTCCCTTTTAATTTATGTGACATACTTTTCTTATTATTCAGTTTAAAAAAGAATGATACATTTCTATTGTAATGACCCAACCGATCATTTTAACTTTTAGAACCCCGTTCTCTAAAATAAAACTTTCCGTAGGTGCTTGTAATGATTTATGACTTGCGGGGATGGTTGGTTCGGGATTTGGAAGTGTTTGAGGTGAAACCGGAACACTTGGTTCCTTAAGTTGGCCTTAAAGTGCTAAGTTTGACTTCGGTCAACATTTTGAAAAAATGACCCCGGAATAGAATTTTGATGATTCCAACAGCTCTGTATGGTAATTTTGGACTTAGGAGCGTGATCGGAATTTTATTTGGAAGTCCGTAGTAAAATTAGGCTTGAAATGACTAAAATAGGAATTTAAAGTTTGAAAGTTTGACCGGGGAGTTGACTTTTTGATACCGGAGTCGGAATCCAGTTCCAAAATTTTTTTTAGCTCCGTTATGTAATTTATGACTTGTGTATAAAATTTGAGATCAATCGGAGTTGATTTGATAGGTTGCAGCATTGAATGTAGAAGTTGAAAACTCTTAGTTTCATTAAGCTTGAATTGGGGTATGATTCATGGTTTTAGCGTTGTTTGATGTGATTTAGAGGTTCGACTAAGTTCGTATGATGTTTTAGGACTTGTTGGTATATTTGGTTGAGGTCCTGAGGGCCTCGGATGAGTTTCGGATGGTTAGCGGATCAAAAATTTGAGTTAAAAAGCTGCTGCAATTTTTCCTCTTTTGTTGGACATTCTGAGCTGTGATCGAGCCCAGATATCGAGCCCAGGGTTGACGAAGTACATGCTCGAGCTAGTGTATCGAAGCCATGATCGANCCTCGATACCCTGATCGAGGCCATGACTGAGGTCCAGGCTCGAGCTTGTGATCGAAGCCGCGATCGAAGGCAAGGCTCGAGGGCATGATCGAAGGTA